TTACTCTTATTATTCTTTTTGCCTTTAGCTTTAGTAATATACTATATATAAGTATTACTAAAGTATTTATTAAAGTTATAGATATTTCGGGATCTAAACTAATAAATATTTCTATTTCTAAATTAAGTTTTCTTAGCTTTTTATTTCTCTAGTATATGCTTTTATAAGTAGTATTCGAGTTTCTTATATATAAAATACGATTTCGGGATATAGTTATTATAATTATAAGACTTGAAGTAGTTATTACAAGTTCCGAAATTATAACTAGGTCCGTATTAATAATTTCCGGAAAAATAATAGCTTAGAGAGTTCTAAGAATAATATTATTAATTAGTAAAAAAGGTTTCGGAATTAGCTTATTATTTGCTCTTATATATAGTAATAAATGACTAGAGCTTATTAATAAGCTAGTCAAGATTTATAGGAGAGTCTGAGATTATATATTTATATGTCCGGGAGCCTTAGTAAGAAATAATAATTTTATTATAAAGAAATTCGGTATTTTATAAGTTAGATATAAGACTATATTATAATTAATATAGTTTATTAATTAGTAATTAAATAGTCTCAAATATTATTTTTTCCGGAAATTTAACTATTATAGAAGCTAATATAATAGTGTTTTACTTGTCTAAATTTTAATATTTAAATTCAGGGCCTTTAAAAAAGCTATAAATATTAATATAAGCCTTTTTATATATATATTAAGAAAGCTAGTTACTATAGAAATAGTCTTGAACTAGTTTCTTTAATATAATAGGAAAAGCTCGTATTAGTACCTCTTATAAAAGCTTTATATATTAGTAAATATTAAGGAAAATAGTAAGTTTATAATTAAAATTACTATTAGATCTATTATATTTTTGCTTTTTAATATAGATTTTAGTAACTTCTCTAATAAGTCTTATAATTAAAGGAAATTAGGAATTATTCGGATATAGTTATAATAATAATAGTAGTAATATACTATTTGCTTTTAGAGCTTCTATACTAGTATATAAATCTAGTAAAAATATAGAATATAATAATAAAGGAAATAGTAGAAAAAGTAATAATATAGAAATATTAAAGATAATAGGTTCTAGGTACTTATTTTTTATAAGAATAATAAAGCCTAATAAGATTAGTTCTTTAATAAGGTCTAATCTAGCTACTAATATATTCTTATTTAATTATATATACTATTTATTCTTTTTTATAATAATATATAGGGTATTTATAATAATATTAGTATTATTATTCTATTATATAAATATACTACTATACTAAAGAATCTTATATAAATATAGTATCTCCGGGAGTTTGAATTTATTAAAATTCCCTTAATAAATAAAGTTTTTAAAATTATATCTAAATAGCTTTTAAAGGTTATTATTAATTATTTTATAAAGAATATATTAAAATAGCTTAATATTTAAGAACTCAGTTATCTTATTTGCCTTAGTAAAGTTCAGGTTAATTCTATATCTTTACTTTCTTACTAATTTCTCGAAATTATTATTATTTATAAAATAATTAGATTAGATAAATCTAATAAAGAAATTATTTACTATAGTATATTCCGCTATTATATATTCTATAGGCTCGTGCCTAGTTTAAGATATAGTAGTTTATAAAAAGAATAGGTTTATAAAAAGAAGAATAGTTTATAAAATAAGTAATTTATAATAGGTATTATATTTAAAATAAAAATTTCGTTTACGTTTTAGTACTTAGTAAGATTAAGTACTCTTCCTGCCTATATAACTAAATTACAGGTAATAGAACTAATAGATATTCTCTCTTTTAATATAATATAATTGGGCCTTAGTAAGATTAAGTATCTTTCCTGCCTATATAATTAAATTACAGGTAATAAGATTAATAGTTATTTTTTCTTTAATTAGAATAATAGCTTTACTCCTAAATAACCAAATCTTAGGCAAGTATAGCTTAATTCTTCCTAATCTATAAATACTAACTAATTAGTATTAGTTTACTAGAAATATATAATACTATTATATAAGTATAAAAGTATTATTTATATAAGATTAGTAAAGTTATTATTTAGAAATAGGAATTATAGTATTATAGTATTAATATATAATTCCTAAATTTACTAAGCCTAAAGGGGTCTAGTTTACTAGTCGAGTTACTAATAGGATACGAGGTTATATAACTATATCTTATATCTCATATTCTATTACTTATATCCTATTACTTATATTTCATATCCCGTATCCCGTAACTATATATGTAACTCCCAAAAAAATAGCTATTTCTTTATCTAGTAAGATATTACTAGTATATTAGCTATAGCTATAGCATCTAATAAAATTCCTAAAGCTATATAATTTTATATCCCGCTAGTCAAGCAAGAGCCTCTTGCCTATACTAGTAATATCTTACCGGATAAAGAAATACTAATATTAAATAATAACTAAACTTTTTACTAAAAGTATAACCTAACTAAAAATATACTAAATCATATTTTATTACTAGTATTAAAACCATAGCTAGAATTAATAAATTAGCTTATATTATAAAAGTAATTAATATAATTTAAAAAAAAGTTTACTAATTATAATAAAATAACTAATTACTATTAATACTTATAATTAGCTATTTCTTAATATATTCGAGGCTTTATAAAAATTTAATAATAAGCTAATTCTTTTTAGTATTAATATCTTATTATTAAATAAAAAAAGTTTTAATTTATTAAATTAATTACTTTACTAATCGGGATATATTACTTATTAATTATATTATTAAGAATCTTATAAAAGAAATTAGAGAAAAATAAATAAGAAAAAACTAGATAAACTATTTTATTAAATATTATAATATTAGGCTAAAAAGCTTTTATTTTTATAATATTAATAATTTATAAGCCAGTACTAAATATATTTTAATATTTTAATTTTTCTTTAGTATTATAAGCTACTTTTCTATTTTATTTCATATATTTATTACCTAAATACTTACTAATATATATTTGGCTTTTTAGCTTATAATAATTATTAAAAATTATAGAATTATAGCCCAAAATATATATAACTTTAATAAAAAGAAATTCTTAATAAGATTTAGATATTTCTTAAAAAAAAATATAAAAAGCTTTATATTTAGAGAGAATTATAAAAGCTAAATAAGATAAAAGCCGGGAATTAATTAATATTTTAATATATATATTTATAATTAGAAAATAAGTATTACTATTTCTAATATATAAAAGCAAATTGGGTAATTTAATAAATATATAAATTAATAAAATAAAAACGAATTTAATAGTATATTTTATAATTTTAAGTAATAAATAGTTTAATAATATAATTAGGCTAATATAACTCTAGAAAATCTATAAATATTATACTAAGCCCAAATATATAATATAAAAGCATTTTCTAATTATAAATAAATATTTAATTATATTAATATAATATATTTCTTTTAATTTATTACCTTATATAACTTATTACTTTTAACTTCTTAATATTAGCCTTTCTTAATTCCTCTTAATATATTACTTTATTAAAATTAATAAATTAATAAATAAAAATAATAATTAAAATAATTAGAATAATAAAAGAACTTTTTTTAGCCAAGATTTAAGATTATATTTAATAAAGCTTTTACTAAGAATAATATCTAATCTGCTTTTTATAAATCAGATATCTAACTAATAAATAAAAGTATAATTATTAAAATAATTAGTTATTTTATATTTTATTTATTTAAAAAGATTCAAGAATTATATATATCTAAGACTTTAAAAGTAATTTATTAATTTTAGCTTATATATAATAAAGAACTAATTAAAAACAAAGTTAAGAAACTCTTTACTATTATCTTATATATCTTTATATAAATAGCTTACCTATAATACTAAAACCGAGGTTTATTTAAGGCTATTAATTTCTAAAAGAAAAAGAGTTAATAAGAAATTTATCTAAATTTTTATAGCTAGCCAAATAAGAGTATTATTAATTACTACTTTTCTATATAAGTAATTAAGGCTAGGAAATATTAGAAGTAAAAGGAAGTACTAAAAGTAGCTAAGAAAAAGGCAAAATTAAAAAGAAAAATTAAAAGAACTATAAATATCCTCAAAAATAAGCTAGAAAAAGAAAAAAAAACTAAGAAAAAAGCTAAAAGGGAAACTAAAATAGTAAAAGAAAAAAAAGCTAAAGTGTAAGCTATAATAATTAAAAAAATATTAAAGATATAATTAAATTATACTATTCTAAAGACTAAAAAAGCTACTTCGAGAATATTAAATCGGATAAAGGTATTTCTTAAGAGAAAGGTACTAGTAGAAGTACCTATATAACCTAATATAATTATATTAGATTAGGGAATAATTCTAATAGTAATAAAAATAAAGAAAATAGCTATATAAATAATTAGTTTACTATAATACTTTAAATAGCTTTTTTAATTAAAATAATATTAAGTTCTTAATTAATACTACCTATTGCTTTAGTTTTATTATAATCTATTAAGTATTTATTAAATACTAATTTTTAGAAATTTCGGGGAATCTCATTAATTTATATGCTTTTAATAGGGTTATACTTTTAGTAGAGAGTTTAGTTAAGTAATTAAAATACTCGAGTACTAGAATACTAAAAAAACCCAAACTACTTAAAAATAGATATATAACTATACTAAAATTAAGCTAAAGCCCGTAACTACTATAGCTAGTATATAAAACTAGATTATATACTTATAAGAAGTAATCTCTAGGGAATTATTTCTTAAGGAGCTATTTCCCTAGAAGCTGCTCTCTCTAGGGAGCTATTCCCTAGAGAGCTCTTTATATATTACTATAAGCTATTTCTTGGGAGCTCTTTATATATTATAGTAAGCTATTTCCTAAAGAGCTCTTTATATATTATATATAAAGAACTTCCTGGGAATAGCTTCCTGGAGAGACAGCTTCTGGGGAGGGGAGTATAAATAGTAGATATGGGTCTTAGTATAATTTAAGTATAATTCCAAGCCTAATTTTAAATAGTATACGATTTGTAGCTTTGAATTTCAAGGTTTTGGTATTCTGGTACTCGAGTATTTTGACTACTTACTGCCTAAAATCCAGCCCTAGCCTTAGGCTTAGATAATAAGTTAGAAAACCTCGCAAGTATCCTGGATGTACAGTATAATCTCGTATCTAATAATCCGACAGGAGCGGTAAGGGGTTAGCAGTTCATACTCGTGGCCCCCTTCGCGCCAGTCCGACTCAACTTTTACGAAGAGAGTCCCAGAACATTGCTTTAGCAATACAGGGTGGGTGAGTTTGTGTGCGGTCAAAGCGGTTGCATTAAAGACCACCAGCATAACGAAAACTGTCTGGAGTGGAATCTCGATGAGTGAGCCGTGCTGGACCTTCGTTTGGCATCCGAGCATATATCTATACTTCTGGAGAGACACGACTTCTGGCGTCTGCAAATCGTGTTCAAGAGACCACCACACGTCGGTGAGAAGGTCGACTATGCTGGACAGTCGTTGTTGGGGTCTCTAATGGATGAGATTGCCGGGGAGCATGTCATTCATTATCACATTTTGTTGAAGAGAGTGCAGGGTGAGCGGGAGAGCTGCTTTGAGAGGGTAGGTCTGTTTGTGAAGAAGGTGCCGCTAAGAAGGGGTGCAGGGGCAGGCTTGGCAAAAATACTTTTGGTATCGATAAGGTATTGATACTGGATGGTATTAGGTATCGCAAGGATCAATACGTATTAATACCGAATTAATACTTAGCCTTAAATTATCTCTTCCATTTATTATTTAATTTACATAATAATATATTTATATATAATTTCTTTATTTTCTAGTCATTCTATTAAAGGAATTACTTAATATTATTAATAAAAGTTAATATTATTTTAATTTCAAAATGGCCCTCGTATTCGGAGAATTTAGTATCGTATTCGTATCTCTTATTGGAATGCTTATTATAAGCGAGCCTCACGAAAATCTCAAAAGCTATTTTTTGCTTAAAATAGCCGCATTGAGACAAGTTTTAGTCTAAACTATAAGATAAGTAGCTAAATAGAAAGCCTAAAGTAGTTAGAATATTTGCGCTACCAAAAGTTTTCTTATAAGGGAAGTGGTTCTAAAGTTAATCGCAATTAAAGGGGGGAATTGGGTTCCGGGAATCGATACTTTATCGATAGTATCGATACCTTACGATTCTGGCATCGATACCAGAAATTAGGTATTTCTGCCAAGCCTGTGCAGGGGTGTATCGCTGCGGCAAGGCGGAGAAAGTTTTGATTATTTGATGGAGGCAGGATATTTGGGTTCCAATACTCAGGGGCTTACTAGCTTAGCTGGTCGCAACACAACACTTCAAGAGCTTTATTAATTTTAATAAAAATTAAGGAAATAGATAGATGAACATATCGAATTCAAGTTCATTGTAATTCTGTATGTTATGAGTATCCCATAAACGTTGATTTTCTAGTTGGCTTGGGCGAATCATGAATTACCCCTGAGAACTCTTTGATGATTGAAGTGACTGGCTTCTCGACACAGAGAACAAGTAAGAATTTTCCAACTTTCTCAATACCCCCCAAACCAATCAAAGCTAGGCGGCGCACTGATTTTAGCGCGAAACGCACTGTACTGCAGGGGAAAAACGACGCATCGATCCCGGGTCGTCATCCGTCAACCCCGCCGAAGCATCCCAACCCTCTCCGAATCAACATTCCTAGCACTAAATCATCATTCCACGTCTCGAAAACATCATCAAGACCATTACCTTCATCTGATATTTTCCTGCCACGTCGTCCAAGCTTATTGTAGCCCTCGCTTTACTTGAAGAGCTGCTACAAGCGACCGAGAAGCTTTCAGAGCCAACATGCCCCCTCCAACATCGAACGAGTCCGCAAGGAACCAAGTCGGCTCGGGTGCCCTCGCAGGTACTTCATTATTTGCCCACTCTGATTATGGTGCGGAGTCGTGCTAATGCCCCAAATGCAGCTCCATTGAGGGACATTGGGAGGGAGTGAGTCAGGAACAAAGGTATGCAAATTGCTATCCCATACTTGGTGTCTCTTGGGGACACCAATTTGAATACGTAGGTGCTGATGTGTTGAATGTAGTCAACTCTCCCAACCGCATCGACGCATTCGTTCGGTCAACATCTCCATGGACCCCATATCAGACCGCGACGAGAAACGTTGCACAAGCGATCAGAGAATTCGATGCCGCGTTTGAAGGGGCTTGGTCTCCATCGAGCAGAAGATCAGAGGTGCAGATTGGGGGGGAGACACTAGTCGAGTCGGCGTCATTGGAAATCGAAGCACGCCTTCAGCTGGAAAGGACAACGAGGAGCTCTGGGAGCGGTCCAATTCGAGAAACTGAGACGGATATGCGTAATAATGAGGCGACGGCCTCGAGCGCGATTCTTGGTGACGTCTTTTTCCCCCGAAGTGAGAATAAAAACCAACTTGGACATATCTCAGAAAATGCCGAGGTTCCCTCCTCTCGACTCGAACAGGAAACCTCCATCATTGAGCCAAAGACTTCGAGCGATGGCCCGCTCCCAAGAACTGAGAGGGCACTTGGAGCTGTGGAACTGAAATCCGCCGCTGCTAGTCTCCTATTGCTCGCTTCCAAATTCTGGCAGAGTACGTTTACGGAAACAAGCAGTTACACATACCTTTTCTTCAGATGGGTTCCCTTATCTCTGCTACTCATTGGTACTCCCCTATCTAGAAGGGGCATTGGAAATGCTCGCTGGTTCTAGTATGTCGATCGGCGTCCAGCACAAGAAGGATGAACGAATCGTTCAGATTGTCACCGATAAGACTGTTCCCTAAGAGCTACATCATTAGTCATGGTTCTGATCAAAAGTAGTTCAAAGCCTCAAGCCGCTGCTTTTTGCCCGGCGGCATAATCCAGTGCGCAATAATGGCGAAAATGGGCACCCAATTCGGTGCTATCCAAATATCAAGAGTGAACAAGATGGTGGTACAATTATATTCCAGCTCAATTTTCGGCGCTTATGAGCTGGCAGATTGATGCAATTGCTTTATTCGACGGACGGGTTGAGGAGTGAGTGGGCTCGAGGCAGGGACATCGTCAGTTAGCTAGCGGGAAAAGATATAGCCGGCTGGCACTTTCTGTCTCTTTCCCTCTCCATGATGAGTCTCTGCAGGGATATAATCAACATTGGTCCCTCGAGTTGAGAGCATATGAACCCGCGGAGGTTATCAACAGGGTCACCCCCCAGCAGCGTACAGGGGATATAAGAGGAAGCGTTAACATTAAGATTAATTCCCTATCAAGATATTTAAGGTGATAACCGCCGCGTCATTCCTCAAGCTATTTCATACTCATTTAAACAGTATTTACAAAATATCCTGTACTCACGGGCATCTCTGGTAGCATGCCTCTGACCGGAGGATTCGCCCTAAGCTCCGCCATAACAGGTCTTCTTGCTGGTACTTGCTGACTTTGGATCTGCGGCTGAACCTGAGCTTCCGATTGTTGCCCAATGGTTATTGGTGAATGTGCAGCAACGTTAGTACTATACCACATCGTAGGTGATGGCATATCCTTCATTGCGACTGTCGTTTCAACATTTTCAGTGCCAGGATAGGTAGGTAGGATGCTCACTGGACGATGTGCGGCTGGTGGCTTGCTCCGTCTGTGTCGGAGGCAGAGGAATACTAGGCCGAGTAGGAGAGCGACGCCGCAAACCGGTCCGATGACAGCTCCTGCAATTGCAACACCAGAGACATTACCCGCCGCTCCCGTGGTGCCATTCGTAGGTAAACTACTCGTCGTGATCGAAAGTGAGGTGCTAGCTATAGGGGAGATGGTCTGTGATATCTGGGAGGTCGTTATGGGGGGGATTTGCTGGGGGGTACTTAATACCGAGGTTGTCGCTAAGAGTGTTAGCGAGGAGTCTGGGACTATTCTCGCTGTCTACCGCTACTTACTAGGGGCAACGTTCGGAGGCGTCCGGTACGCGATCCAACCGCTCCCGGTACCACAGAAGAGGCATAGATCGCCGTCCAATTCCGCACCTTCACTGGTTGCCGCTATCCCCGTTACACACGAGCTTCCTGGTCCGCTAGAATGGCGCTGTAAGCATCAAAAGCTACAGGACTTCACATTAATGTCCAGAGAGAAAGTCAACCTTAACTTACCAAGGTAAGTTGCTTAAGGTGCCGTATAAGGTTCCAAGGGCACATGTCGTCCAAGGGTAACAAGTCTTAAAGGTTGTGGCACAACAACCGCCGTACCCAGGGTTATACAGTCCGAATGGTTTAGTCTCCGAGTATGTGTACCCGGGACCACATGTCAGAGCCGCCCCTACGAGTCGCTGTTAGTCGTGAAGGTATTCGATCGCATAAAATTCTGCACAAACATTCAGGAGAAGTGTAGCCAATGAAGTTCTGGGCTTGTCTCTTAACGAGCTCAAGATTCGGTGCTTGGGTGGTCATCGGTCGGTATGAAGCTGACGGTTTAATAAATTCAAGCTGAGTGTGCATCCTCGGTGATAGTATTTAGTAGAATCGGGAGCCAAGTGACAGGAAAATAGGCAAATACAAGAAGGGGATTAATTCAAAGATAAAGTATTTCGCTCCTTAGACGCTTCTATTCTTTTTGCTCAAACAAGCCCCGCGCAAAATCGTGGCTTAATGATAACAATTCTTTTTCTCTAAGTTCAAGATCGTCAAGAGATGCGAACCAACGAACTGGGCACGTAACGCACACACCCACAAATGTGGACGATATGGCTGCCACACTAAATATGAGATGTGGTGTGAGCTGTCTTGATCCGGACACCTGCCAAGCGCGTGACCCTCCCAGACTCTCGCAACTCCCCTAGGTGGGCATCTGTGTGACTGGTCTGGGTTAAGCCGTCAGCATATGTATGGCCTAGGACGCTGAATTTTTACTTGCCGTTTAGAAACCTCTGGCGTAAAATGGGAGCTGAATGATCGCCCAAAACAAAAAAACAAAAAAAACGGGGGAGGAAGGGGGGGCTAGTAGCGCGTTCTCATAGAGTAAGAGCATGCGGCATTACTCACTGGGCACCTGACTTCCCCCTACAATTGCTTAACCAGAACTAAAACTAGCAGGCCGACCGGGCTACCCGGGTCCAGGCGATCCACGCGCAGACACTTGGGCAGAGGGATGTAGTGATTGATCAAACTTGTTGGACATTGCGCGCTTGGTTTTTTATAGAAGCCGTGGTCCAATTGCTGAGCCGCAAAGAGAGTGCGCATCTTTGTCTGACGACAACGCTAATGCAGTTGAAAATGTCTTACCTTATTTTCAGCTGGGCAACTACGAGGTACTGGCGATTCGATATCTGAAGACACTGTGAGACATCCATTTGCATAGCCTATCGGTCGTTGCCGAAAGAAAATAAGAGGCGTCTCGGCAGATTCCGTTCAGGGTAACCACACATCACCTCCACGTTGTTCGAGAAACCGCGTACGGAATCTCTACCAAGTAGCCTCGAGGATCGACATTCTCAAAATGCAGCGTCAAGATGCAGGTGCCTCATTCAGATGAATTGATACGGTACCTTGCCGAAGAGCCATACGGCTTCAGATACCAGCTAAAGTTTCTGGGGGAAATGCTTTGCAAAGTCCGCATCGGTCTAAAGAGGCTTGAATATGGGGAGGCTTAGCCCAATTATAGCATGCCGGACCTTTTGGGCCGCGGGCTAGACTCTTCAGAATAATTGTACTCAAGATGTGCCATTACATGCCGTGTTTAGAATTGTTCTATCCGCTCACTCTCAGTTGCGCCTACTATTATTACTACTACTGCTACAACTAGAATAAGGGTCAGCGGGGTTACGACGTAACTCCGCAAAACTGGTACGTGCACACGTGAGGGTGGTGCTAGAAACACTGGGGTTATGTTGTACAGCGATATTAGTAACAATCGTCTAAATCGCATTTTAAGCGAGTCACGAAAACCCCTCGCGAGAAAACGTCTAAAGTACTACCTTTAATTACAATTCCGCGAATTACTCAATAACCATAACTCCAATTAGGAAGGAAAGTTTATATAATTAATAGAGGTATCTAGTTCTACCATTTGCTAACTAGTATACTTATATAGATACTTTACCACCTGACCCCAACTATAATTACCCGGATTAAAGATATACTATATATGCCTGCCGAGTTAATTATATCAAATTATATTATATAGCTGGTATTAAACTACTATATAACCGTATATATAATATATAGGCATAAGATACGAATTAATACAAATCTCCTTATTAGATAATATTTAGAAGGCCTTATATAGGCTATTACTTAAAAAATAGAATAAGCTATTAAATAACTATTAGAGTAAATGCCTTGATTTTACTAAAACGAAATCGCCGACTTCTTATTTAAAGTATTTAGTATTCAAGTATCTTAATCTATAATTTCTATAGTTCTTAAGAGAATACAAGTTATATAGAAGAAGCTAAAAGTCGAGACCTCTTAGAGAAATCAAGAATTATATATATAATAGTAAAATAATCTTTAGTATTTTATTATAGATTAAATTATTTATATAGACGAATTAGAAAATAATAATTATATAAGAGATTATTAATATAATTAGACTAATTTAAGAGTTTATATTAAGGTTTACTAATAGCTAGCTTTAGGGAAAAGGATCTTAATACTTCCGGTATATATAATTAATAAATATATTAAGTTAGTAATCTTTTATAGTACTTATATAGCTAATATCTTTAAAGACTTTATTATTAATAATCTTATACCTTTCTATAACTCATATTCAGGCCCCCGTTTAGTTATTATAATAAATAATATCTTAGTATACTAGTTCTATTAATATAGAATTATTAATACTTATAAATAAAAAGGGATTTAAATATACTTCTTATTATCTTACTCGCCCGATTTCAATTTAATTAAAAAATCTTTTAGTAACCTAAAAGCTTTTATTTAATACTATTATTATTATAAATATCTAAATTATATAAATTATTAAGGCTTTCTAAAATAGGCTATAAAAGAAGTTAGTATAAATATAGGAGCTATTTACTAAACTAAAATATATTTCAGAAATATAGAAATATATAATATTTCAGATAATTAAATAGATTTTAGAGCGAAATTAGTTTTTTTATTCTCTAAGCTTTATATCTTTTTATAGGAGTTAATATTAATTATAGAAGCGAAATATTTATTTAAAGGCAAATTTACTTTTTTTATATGTTTTTTTAATATTCTTAATAGAAAGCTTTTTATATATATTTATTATTTAAAAAGTTTAAATTTAAATATCTAATTCTATTATAATTATATCTAGTCTAATAACTATTATTTTTAGAATATTTCGAATATTTTAAATAAAAATAATTCTATTTTAGAACCTAATTATATATATATATTTCTTTATCTCTTATTTTATTACTATTTATTAAAGAAGTTTATTTCCTTATTTCAAATAGGCTTATCTGTTTTCCAATTATATTCTTCTATTTAGTAACTAAATTATAAAGCGGATTAGAAAAAGGGTTATTAAATAAATAAATTTATAATTAATCGAGAATTACTTATATTTATAAAGCTTTATATTATAAATAGCTTTTCTTGCCTATTATATACCCGCTTGAATTCGGATACTTTCTTAATAATTAATATAGTAATTTCTAATAGAACCTTATATTATTCGAGAATTTCTATTATTATAGGTAGTTTTAATATCTCAAGATTATTAAGGAATTATATTTATATTATATTTATAATATTCTTAATTACTTACTAATAAAAAGATTTTACTTTATTCTAAAATAGAAATAGTTTATATTTTACTAAAAGTTTACTATTATTAATATATTAAATTTAAGAGAAAAATAAAAAAAGCTTACTAATATTTATAATATTTAGTATTATATAATAGAATATAAGCTTATTAAATATAAAAATAAGAGTATTTATATTCGTACGGAAATTATAATTAAACTAGAATAAATAAAGCTAGTACTATATTATAATTTATAACTAGAGCTTGAAATTAAATAGCTTGAGATTAAATAATATTTATTATACTAATTATAAATCTATAGAATTAGATTTGTATTTCTTTCTCTATATAATTATTTTATTTAGACTAGTATTTTAATATATAGTAATTCATTTAAGTAAAGATTTATTAATAGTAATATTTTTAGTTTTAATAATAATATACTTTATTTATTATTACGTGGTACCAGTCACGTGGTGCCACTGCACGTGACTTAGCGTGTAGCCAGTGCTTTTAGCCCGGTATACAGCCTTTAGCTCAATTCAAGCTCTTTACTACTACTATAATATTACCTTATCGTGACATTTATTTATTTTATTAAAAAATATTAATCTTATAATATATTCGACTTTTCTTTAATATATAGTAATAACTTCCTATATTACTATAAATTCCTTTTTCTTTATACTTATATATATTAAAAATCTATAAGTAAATAGTTTTCTAAATACTTATATTCGAATCTCGTATAGTTTTCTTAATAAGCTAATAATTAGTAATAAAATCTCGAGGGTTTTAAATAGAGAACTTATATATAAATAAGCTAATAATATCGGGAATATAGCTACTAAAAATATTGTTTTTTAGGAGAAATTAGTTCGAAATCGAATAATATTTCTCGAATAGAAGTTAGTCGAGCTTTAGTTATAGCCTTTAGAACTTCGAGAATATGAACTTAATTAATAGTTTTATAAAAAGCTTTAATTATAAGAGTATTATAGTTTTTTTAATTTCTATATTACTTTATTTAATAAAGGCTAGCCTTTATAAGCTTCTATAACTTCTAATTTTATATATATATAATTTAATAATTATTCTTTGAATTACTAATTATTATTACCTAATAAAGCTTTCTGGGCTTGTTTCTACTTATAAAATTATAATCTCCTTTCTATTCTTTAATATAATTATTATAGAAAGTATTTTAAAGCTCCTTAAGCTTGTCTTATATATAATTACTTAAATTAATACCTAGTATAATTTAATTTTTATTCTTTTTTTTGCCTTTTATATTCGGTATAATTAAGATCTGAATATAATAAGGTTCTTTATCTTAATAATAGGTTAAATTAAAAGGGTTCATAATAGCTTAATTTATACTTTTCTTGGAAGAAGTCGTAATTAATAGGGCAGTTATAAGAGAGGTTGCTACTTGAGGAGTACTACTAATCTCAATAGTCAAAGTACGAGTCCTATGCTTTGGAGTAAGAGCTATAGGTACAGAATTCGATTACCCCGATAGTATTCTTGCTTTTCGATGCCTATTATCCCGTTTCGAGACGTTTACAGGTGGTCTTGACGCATCAAATACAGCTAATGAAGATATAGCGGGTTTATACTGCCGTTTCGTGGAAAGTATCGCCCCTAGCGAATACCCATATATACGCCTTGAATAACGGACAGGAGGCATTGCTCCCAAGATTTGAATAAAATTTCAGAAGGTTTTAATAAGTGGTTTTTAGGCAATCAAGGAAAAACGATATATGGAGGT